CATCAGTTGCCCAGCTACCAACTGAACGTTCTATAGGCCTCCTTGCTAATCACACATTATAAAAATGGTCGAATCTCCCTCTTCTTTCATTCAATTCTGAGTGCTACCCGACAGGGCCACTTGGGTCACTTGGGCCAGAGTAGATGTCTGAAATCCACAAAGCGAACCAGGTGAACGAGTAAGTCATGGTGAAATTGAGAATATGAAGACCAAGATGTTACGGCCTCTGGTATTGTCACAGTATCCCTTCGATTTATAGAATTGGGTTGACCTCGTTGTCGCAATTTGGTCTTGTGGTCAGGGAGACTATGTAGAACGAACCTAGTCCGAAGTCGTCTGCCATAGTAGTTGTCATGATTCCCAGCATCTGACAGTGGACTTTGTACATTTTCAAATGATTCGCCGGCATCGTAGTCGGCATCATCAGTGAGCCTTGCCATTCTCCGCACCAAGCTACGAACTCGTCATAGAGACAAGTTTTCGGCAAAACGTTTGTCGAGGGATTGACTTCATTTTTCTCTTTGACGAGTTCGTAGTTTGATGCGGCGAATGGCAAAACTCACTGATGATTCCGACTATGATACCGGCGAAACGTTTGAGAATGCACCAAATCCACAGTCTGATGCTGGGAATCATGACAACTATTATGGCAGACGACTTCGGACTAGGTGCGTTCTACTAAGTCGCCCTGACAACAAGACCAAGTACCCACTTCAAGCCATGGTTAGTTTTTGAACGAGCTAAGTTCGTTTCCTCCGTAACCGAACAACAAATAGATCAGAGCCGCTTGGCTATTTACATGCGAAGAAAGATGTGATTGTTGAGGCTCGGCTGTGGATTTTACTGGTAAATTCCCAGCCAGAGGGACAAGTGAAGCAGCTTTCCAGTTGAAATTTCAACAGTGGTCAGATTAAATTTGCTCTACTTAAGAAATCTTTACTGAATAATCGAAAGCCCATGGGAGATTTTATGTGTCAGTTGTTGTCTTCTCCGTTCTGGCCAGCTCCCCTGGGCCCATTGCCCAGAGGACTTTGCACGTGTGTGGATGTGTGCGTTTGTGCTTGCGTCTATGCCTGCCTCCCCTTCCCTACGCCCCTGAAGAATTAACAAGCCCCGAATATGCATGTTCTTGTGCGTATATGTATATGTGTGCATGTCGTTGTCTAGACGAGTGTCTGTATGCGAAGCCATGAGTGAAAGAGTGAGTGAGTGATTGAGTGAGCGAGTGAGTGAGTGAGTGAGTGAGTGGGAGTGAGGCAGAGAGTAAGTAAATGACTGAATGAGTGAGTGAATAAATAAGAGAGTTACTGTGTGAACGAGTGAGTTAGTGAGCCTTTCGACCTCACTGGGATAATAAAACTCCAAAGTGGACTAGTTGTTCAGTCAGAAGTGCGGTTGTCGTTCCCTTGCGACCAAGCCTTATGGTGAATTGGCCTTCACTGTTGGAGTTGATCACGAACGTCTGTGCGCCGGGAATTGTTTGGCTGGGCAAGGTGGGTATAACCTGATAAAATGGGAAATAGCAGGATTAATACTGATACTACGAATGACCATTCCGTAAATACTAGCGGCGCCGAGCCTATTTGAATACAGGCTGCAAAGCCATCTATCGCATAATGGCATGCTTACCCCCGAGGCAAGTCATGCATAAACTTGCTTTTCAGGCTGAAATTGTGGCCGCCATGGACGTCGCAGGCAGCAAGTTTAGCGGAACAAAACCCGACATTTGAGAAAGTGCGGACCAACAATGCTGGGCGGGAAATAGAACAGCCTTTCAGATGGTAACTGTGTTAAGGCCAACCTTCGAGTCATTGCAAGTAGACCAAAGCACTGACAACGGTGTAAACAACGTTGTCCAAAGTGAACTTCGCTCCGGCTGCATTCAGACATTGTAGACTCAAGGATATTGGGTAATATTTGTAGATGAAGACTACATGACCTAAAGTGCTAATCTGGATGGGGATCATCAAATGTAGGGCTTGCCTTTGAAGAAGGCCCCTATTCTGCTTTTAAGGCCAGCAGGGTCATCTCTTCGTCATCATTTCGTCATCTCGTATTCGGCCTCGTCAACGAGCATCGCCAGCCCTAGCAATCTGGACATTTGTCGGATGCTAGATAAGGCATGGTAGAATACACAGTATGAATTTGGCCCTACGAAGTCTCCCTGAAAATAATTGTTGGGCTTACTTCCATTTCGAGTAGAAGTGTTGGGTGAAGAGATTCGAAGGTCGCTTCCACCA